CCCCCCCCCCCCCCCCCCTTCTTGGGCAGGTGTCAAGAGCAGGGGCTCAACTGAGTATGAGCCAGGAACACCACCAGCATTGCAGTACTCCCTTAGACAACCACCCCCTCTACCCCTACCCGGGCTGAGCTCTACCTCCAGGAACTGAGCAGGAATCACTACTGGAGCAAGCTTGGGCCGAAAGCTGGGAGCAGACTTGGGCCGGCGGCGCTTCTGCCCCAGCTCGTCCGCCTTCTGGGAGGTGAGGTCCTCATCACAGGACTTCTTGGCTGGCAGGTAGGAGGAGTCCCCATCCCCTTCAGGGTAGTAGCTGGAAGCGATGCGGACCTTGGCCTTGCGAGGGGGCGATGCATGCATGGGTTCTCCAGGGTCCTTGCTGAGTGGCAGAGCACTCGGGGGGCTGGTGGAAGGGGAGCTGCCCACCAGGGTGGCCTCTGACTCAGAGCTGGTTTCTAGTCTGTGCTGGAATTTGATGGAGTCACTTCTCCTGGGAGGTTTTGGAGGCGTCAGAGGCCCCACTCTCTTAGAGGGCTGAGGGGAGTGAGTAGGCCCAGGGCCTGGGAGCAGGTAGTCTATTTTGGGGGGCGTCTGGGGGCGTTTGAAAGTGTTCGGGTCAAAGATGGACTTTCTTTGCTTTGGCTTCTTGTAAACAGAGAGCTTCTCGGGCCCTGCCGTGGAGCTGAGCACAGCCTTGGGCCAGGTCCCACCGCTATTAGAGCCCTCAGTGTCCGCCTTATCCAGGGGAGCCTCCACTGCCCCACAGGGGCCCCCATCGGTCTCGAAGGGCAGCAGTGGCCGCCGGCTACGCACATCCACCAGCCCATAGCCACGCTCTCCAGAGGCGTCTGAGCGGAAAGAGCTCAGGCTACGCTCAGAGGTGCTGGGACAGGCCTGGGGGGAGACCTGAAAGGGTGCCCCAGGGAGCGGCTTGTGCAGAAAAGAGCTGCTACCCCCCGGGGGGCTCGGCTCCTTCCTGTCCTCCAGCCTGTCGGCATAGAAGATATCCGTCTGCGTGGAGTTATTGTGCTGCATCAAGTTCCTTTTATTATGAGCCTGGACCTCTGGGCCATGGCCTCGAAAGCTCAACATCTTGTCAGAGTCCTTGATGTTTTCAAAGATGTTCTGGCCACTCCATGAGGAGCTCTGAGGGAACACCTGCATGGGGATTGCAGAGAGCGGGAGAGAGAGAAGGTGTGAAGGTAAGACCCAGAGATGCCACTGAAAACCTGTCCCGTGGACAGCAACGGTCGGGAATGGGCCCCCAGAAGAGACACAGGTAGAGGTACACACACGCACACACGTGCTCACACACACGTACACCTGTTCCTAATGGTGAAGTTCCTCATGGCCCTGGCCACAGTGAACTTACAGGACAGTCACAAAGTTCTCTTGAATTTGAATACTTTCTAAAATCACCTATACAATGTCCTGGATGTTTTTCATAAGTATTAAACATAAAAAGCAAAAATTCATTATTAAAAATACATCCTTCACTGTGCTAAAAAGAAATGAGCTATCAAGTCATGGAAAGACATGGAAAAGCCTTAAAGGTGTATTGGTAAGTCTAGAAGCCAACCTGCAAAGCCTGCATACTGTGACTGCAGCTCTATATTGGTAAGTCTAGAAGCCAACCTGCAAAGCATACATACTGTGACTGCAGCTCTGACATTCTGGAAAAGGCAAAAGTAGGGGGGCAGTGAACGAGTTGACGGTTGCCAGGGGTTTGGGGACAGAGAGGGAGGCCTGAGTAGCAGAGCACAGCAGATTTCAGAGCAGTGAAACTAGTCTGTGTGATACTGTACAGGCAGATCATTATACAGAGGGCATCCTGTGTCAAAACCCATGGATATCTGGCACGAGTGAGCGCTAATGTAAACCATGCATTTTAGTCAATACTAGGTATCGATATTGGCTCATCAGGGGTAGTAAATGTGTCACACTAGCGCCAGCTATCCGTAATAGGAAAACCTGAGCCACCGCATGGGGGTGGGTATGATGGGGTGGTGAGGGAGGACATGAAAACTCTCTGTAGAAGCCCAAGCTTTCCATAAACCTAAAACAGCTTCCAAAAGCCTATTAATTTAAAATAATTTAGAACGCATCTCCTAACGAAATGAGTGGGCTTATTTTTTCCCAACTTTCTACTAATAATCTTTTCTAAACTAGGTAGAAAAACTAATGGGAAAAAAAAAGTACAAATGCCCACAAACATGCTGTATTGATTCAACAGTATTATATCCCACTGTCTTCGTTGTTACCATCTCCATCGATGATATAGAACATCGGAAAATAAGTATAAATGTCAAGGCATTTCACCCCAACAACTTCAGCAGGTACTGCTCCAGAAATATGGCTGCTCTCCTCTCTAATCCCAATGTAATCATCGGGCCTAAGAAAATTATCAACTATTCCCTAAGATCATCTAATTGTCCAGCCAGGTTCAAATGTACTCACTGTGCCCAACAAGGCCTATACAGCTGTTTGGTTTTAAATTAGGACCCCATGAGGGCTATTTCACACCCTGCACTTTGTAAACCAACCCTTCCTTTTCTCAAGGTTCCCAGTGATGCTGAGAAACAGCGTGGGCGCACAGAGCCAGGGCTTTGCTACACTCCTGATGGTGAGCGCAAAGCCCAGGGCAGGGCCCTTACCTTCAGGAGGGAGAGGGTCAAGGAGTCCTGGCAGCTACGCAGCAGAGATTCACATTCATTCAGAGACTTGTTGTCCAGTGCAATGCCATTGATCTAGGGCCAAACAGAGAGCCCATCAGGCAAACTGGCAGAGTGACCTGAACCTAGTCCTCAGGCTTGCCGGTAGAACTCTGCCTGCTGTGCCGTGGTGGGCAGCATTTCTAGTTCTGTAAGGTGTCATAACTGGGAGTTGGCAAAGGAGAGAAAGCCCCTCCCCTAGGAAGGCCTGAGGAGTTGAAGCTTCTGAGGCAAATGAAACAAACCTTTAGCACCATTCGAGGGGACAGAACCTGTCTTTCTGGGACCAGAACATCAAAGATCGTGGGGGAGCATTCTGCATGATGCTGGACCACAGCTCAAAATGGTCATCTCCATGCATTCATATATGAAATAGAAGATAAACATATTTGCCTCCAAGGGGCAGGGTGGAGACTGAAGACAAGATCAAGGGTGTGAGAGGCCTTTGTAAACTAGAAAAGTATCCCATGAAATGAAGTACTGTCACTATTCACAAAGAATCTCACAGCCCCTGGGACTCCCACAGAGTTGGGTTCATATGCGTGTGAGCCCAAAATTCTGAGAGAAGAATGGAGAAGAGATTGTGGCATAACCATCCCCTCAGGGGGGTAATTTTCCACCTTCTGTCTCTGGGCAAGTTTATGTACCCTATAGCAAAAATCTCTCAGAAAATGGAAAATTAAAATTAAACTAAATAAAGGTTAATCAGAAGTATAAACTAGCATGCCCTGTGATTCAGCAATCACAACAGGTTAGTCACCTGAGACACCGTTAGGTATCCCCAAAGTGGCTGTGCACACAGGGGAAGTTCACTGCAGGGCCGTTCACAATGGCAGACACTGAAAACAGCTTATATGTCTATCAACGAGGGGGGGGGGGATGGCTTACACTACATATAATCAAGCAACAGAACACCATGATGGGGGTGAAGTCAATGAACATGAACTTAAAAAGAGACCCATATTGTGCAATCCAGAATGCAAATTGCACACTGTATTATTGTACTGAAAAAGCAAACGAAAACAGAAGGTTACTTAAGGATACCCAGATGTGTATAAGTATTTACAGTCTGGGTTGGGAGCAAACCTCCCAAAGTGAGCAGAGATTATCTCTGCCGACAGGATTAATTTTATGTTTTTTGTAGTGCTTGACTATTTAATGGCAAGTAGGTCTTATTTTGGTAATAAAATGAATTTTAAAATAAGTAAATATACTGTTTATTAAAAACAAAAATGAAATCTTTTCTGGGCCGGCCAGTAGCAAGGTGGGTAAAGTACTGGATCCCACATAGCTGACTGCATGGTTTGAGTTCTGGACCTGAGGCTTCAAAAACACATGGGTAGGGACCAGCAAGTGGTGAGGTGGTTAAAGGTACTGGATTCCCACGTGGCTGACTGTGGTTCAATTCCTAGACCTGGCAGCTTGCTTTCTCATTTTCTCTTTCTTTCTCTCTCTGGTCAAGTTAAAAATATTAATAATAAATGGAATTAAATACATAAATCATTCTGGGGGGGGAGAACATGGGTAAGTGTTTGCATGCCCAAAATCCCAAGACGAGATTGGAGGAGAAGGGACTTGGGTATGGCCATCCCCTGGGGGCATGATATTTCACCTTCCCCTTCTCTCTGTCTCCAGAGAGCACATGCACACTAAAAAATAAAATTAAAAAACTTAAAAAAAAAAAAAAAAACACACACACACAGATAATTTCAAAATACTTTACAAAATTGTCCTTAATATATATGCGTATATAGAGAAGTACATTAAAAATGTTAATAAGGGAACCAGCAGTTAGCGTAATGGCTATGTCGCTGGACTCCCATGTAGTCAACCGCGGTTCGCATCCCGGACCCGGTGGCTTAAAACTCACGCCGGGCGCATATGCATGCGTGCCCAAGATCCCGAGAGGAGAATGGAGGAGAAGGGATTGCAGCGTGACCATCCCCCCTGGGGGGGTGATTTCTCGCTTTCTGTCTCTATGTCTCTCTCTGTCTGTCTGGCGAGCGCACGCGCCCTATAGTGAAAATCTCCAAAAAAAGAAAAAAAAGTTAATAAATGTTAGCTATAAGTGGTAGCAACACAAATGATTTTTATATCCTTCCTAGACTTTTCTTGTATTTCTTAATTTTCTACAGAAAATAAAAACATAACATCAGGGTTCAATCATTTTTAAACATTCACATGGGACCAGCAGATAGCATAATGGTTACAACCCTGGACTCCCACATAGTCGACCAACGTTCAAGTCCCAGACCTGGGGGCTTAAAACTCACGCTGGGCATGTGTGTGTACATATCCAAAATCCCAAGAGAAGAATGGAGAAGAAGGGATTGTGGCATAGCCATCCCCCTGGGGGTGATTTCTCAATTTCTGTCTCTCCACAAATGCACACGCCCTATAGCAAAACCTCTTAAAAGAAAAAAAAGGAAACATTCACATGATGCAATGCCCAAGAACAAAGCAAATACAAACTCTGTCCATCACTTCTTATTCAAACCTCCCAAATGTAATCTGGCTGTGTGCGGGGCAGACAGCCCTAGCTCTACCCCTGAGACTCACCGCGACAATCCTGTCTCCCACAGCAAGGGACCCCTCTTTGGCGGCAGGGCTTCCGGGTACCACAGCTGCAGCATACACTCCATTCTCCAGACTGATGCCACTATCTGCAAACCACAGGGTCACTCGATTACCTCGGGCCCTGCTACCCCCATCTTCTGGTGCCCCACCCTGCCTCTGAGGAATCGAGCACTTGGAGACACACATACATCTCCTGTCTGCAAGAAAGGCACCCTGCCCACCTCACCGGCCTGCTACCTTTCTGTCCACTGAGGTTGATGTGCAGTGGCGTGACCACCTTCCCGCCCAGGGACTTCCTCCGTCGCACAACCATGTTGATGGCCCCGTCCCCATTGAGGAGAGCCTTCATGGCCTGCTTCTTGTCTTTGTTGATGAGGTCCACATCGTTGATCCTCAACAGCCAGTCATTGACCCTGAGGAGGGCCACAGCCAGGTTAGCGCCCACGCAGACCTTGGGACTAGTGGGGGGCCTGCCCACCATTCCCATTTGGGGACCAAAGGCCAGAAAGTCACACACACATTCAGAAAGATGTCCTCTTCCAGGAGTGTGCAGGGGTTAACTGTGCCAAGGCTGGAGCTGGATAGCCTGGGTTCAAATCCTGGCTCTATCCCACTTCCTAGCTGTGTGACCTGGCCCCTATGGACTTCAGTAAAATGGGGGCAAAAATTACACCTACTTAATAGGAATGTAAAGAGTAATTAATTTATATAAAGTACTTAAACCAGTACTTAGGAGGAGAGAGTAAGCTCTGTGTGTTAGTTATTTTATCATCATGACTGCTCCGACAAGTGAGCGTACAACACGCCCCAGGCGCTGACACGCCAGCTTAGACAGGCTGGTAACCGGGAAATCAGATTCAGAGGCAGTTTCCTTACAGAGCAGTACTAGCGGTGGAGCCTGTAGTCTGGGATACGACAAACTGTGAGACCCCAGATGCTGGGATGTAGGCATCCACTCTACCTGGCTTCCTCTGGGTCTCTGCATATGTTGGAGATACCCACATCCCTGCCACAGCTTGAGCCTCCTCAGTGCTTACCTTAAGCGACCATCAGCAATACTTCCTTTGTCCACTTTAGTGACAAATATGCCACAGTCCCCCGGAAAATAAGGCTCATTCACACCTTCGGCCATATCAAACCCAAGCGCCTTCAAGTCAATCTCCTCCTGTTGAAAGAGCAGCAGCAGCAGCACATGTCACAAAGCAGCGATGAGACACTTCTAGCTCTTCAACCCAAGTTGTTCACTCCAGTGTGGGAGACTGTCCCTTCACCTTGTGTGGTGGGCAGTCAGTCCCCAGAATAGACACCTCTGAGGATCTGCAACCAGCCCTGTCTAGCCACTGCAGACTTACATCCCTCTGCTCTGCTCTGCCTCCCACACGCTGTGCCAGCATTACTGCACAACAGGACCTGCTGCAACCCAGCCAGGAGGACTGCAGGGAAAAGACGCACTAGCACCCCTAAAAGGAAAAGCCAAGCCTCCAAACTAGCAGCCTTGAAACTAGGGGGTCACTGTAAGAGGGTCACCATCCTCCTTCCCCTCCAAGTCTTCATGTTAAGGAGAGAAGAGAGACGAGCCCTCAAAGGCAGCTTACCGTCTCCCTTTCAAACTCTACAACTTCTGTTTCCCACTCCATGGAATCCGTGTCAATAGCCGAGTCATGGGAGCTGTGGGCCATCAGCTGCCGAAACCGGGCCTCCTTTTCCAAGTGGGATTCCATCTGCTCCCTGGGAACAGAGAGAGCCACGGCAATGGTCCTTTGGGAGGTGAAACATCCCACCTGAGTCAAAGGTCTGAACCAAGGTGAGTCAATCCTGAGAGCTAAATGGGGCTCCCCTGCCCCTCAGGTGCCATACCAGTGTCCCAATAAACCTAGGGGGATCGGTCAAGGCTTCTTGGACATCAGTGGGATTTTACAGTCATTTATGAAGAAATACAGAAATTCTCCCCAAATTTATCTAGAAATGTAATGTAATACAGATCGAAATGTGACCAAGCTTTTCTGTAGATAGAAAAAAAGACTACTCTAGAGCCAGCAGGAGGCATGGAGACTAAGGTAGCTGGATCTCACGAAGCCAACTATGTGGTTTGGGTCCCAGACCTGGTGGCTTGAAAAACATGCCAGGAGCATATGAGTGTGTGCCCAAAATCCCACCAGAAAAATGGAGGAAAAGAGATTGTGGCTTGGCTATTTCCCCAGGGGATGCCTTTTCAATTTCTGTTTCTCCCTGGCAAGGGCACATGCCCTATATAGCATATTAAACAAACAACAACAACAACAACAAAAAGCAAAACAAAAACTATTCTAAAATTTACATAGAAAAGAATTAGAATAGCTAAAACCATTTTGAAAATGAGAAATAAAGTAGAAGGAGTCATTCTACCTGATTTTTTTTTCACTTTCTTTTTTTTTTTTTCTTTTTTTGGAGAGGTTTTTGCTATAGGGTGCATACGCTTGCCAGACAGAGAGAAACAGAGACAGAAAGCGAGAAATCACCCCCCAGGGGGGATGGCCATTCCGCAATCCCTTCTCCTCCATTCTCCTCTCGGGATCTTGGACACGCACACACACGTGCCTGGCGTGAGCTTATTAAGCCACCAGGTCCGGGACTCGAACAGTGGTTGACTACGTGGGAGTCCAGCAACACAGCCATTACGCTAACTGCTGGTCCCCCCTCTCCCCCCCAGCTTCTATTTTTAAACTCTGATCTTTGTCTTTTCAATCTACTGCTGAGGGCCACCATGTCTTTAAGCAGCAGCCAGAAGCTGACTGTAATTGAGGGGAGACTGCCTAATACTCCAGTCTTCCAAATGGGCACCCAAATAACACTGGCAGAGCTGACCGCTAGTTACCATTGCTTCGAAACGCTGAGTCACAATGTTTTATTCACTTATTCACTTAAGGACTTGTCACTCCTGAGCACTGTGAGCCCCGTGAGGCTAGGGACCTTGGTCTGCTGATACCATTTTTCCAGGGCTTCTCGTCAGCCCATTCAGTAGGTCCTCAACAAGTCCTTGTTGAGTGAGTGAACGAGTGAGAAGGGGAATGAAGGGGCACACAGTGGACTGCATGCAAGCAGGACTTTCCTTCCTACCTGCTGTGGCACCTGTGCCCACTCTGTCTCCATGGGCTCAGCAAGGGGCTGATACCCTCTTCTGTGCTGGTCTAAGGATTTCTAATTAACTCCCAACATGGAGGTGGCATTTGGACCTGTCTGCAGATTGACAGAGTGAGGCAGAGTGGACACAGACGATCAGATCTGCATCTGCCCTGCCTGTCATATGGGGCTGCCCTGCCCTGAGAGGAGAGAGGAACACCACCTCCCAGGCGCCCGCCCGTCTAGGCAGCACCCCCACAAGCCTACTTGAGCTCCTTAAGCTCCCGGCTGACATCGTTCTTCTGTTTCCGAGTGTCATCCAGGCTGCGCAAGGCCTCGGCCAGTTCACTCACGGCCCGGTCCCGCTCCCGCCTCAGGTTGTCACACAGGGTCCTGGTGGATAGGCAAAGGGCAAGGTTTCTTTGAGTCAGGGAAGGGAAAGGGTGAGTTTCATGGTCTATAGCGTCTACACCTACAGGACCCTGCCTTAGCCCCAGATGTATAGGAGGAGCATTTGGGGGCCTGAGTGAGACCACATAGGCTAGCCCCGCCACATGAC